ATTCCCTGGAGAAGGATGTCATGCTTGGTAGGGTGGAGGGTCGACGAAAGAGGGGGAGGCCTTCAACGAGATGGATTGATACGGTGGCTGCGATGATGGGATCAAGTACAGCAGGGATTGTGGGGCTGGAGTGGGATTGGGCAGTGTTTCGTTCTGCTGTGCATGGGGTCGCTATGAGTCGGAAATGACTCGACGGCACTTAACAACAACAACAACAACAAACTGAATACTTCCTGAAAGTAATGGGACATCTACAGTTGGCTTTGCACATCCCTTTCCAGATAGAAAATTTCTTTTGCAGTGAGACTTATCAGCTTACAGTGACGGTGGGTACAGACACAGGACATCTGGAAGCAGGGCTGGAGGACACAAAGGAAGGGAAAGTCAAGGGTCTTGTGCCAGTAAAAAGTTGGAACTGAGCAGCAAGTCTGAATTATACACACTAAAGGTTAATGTGAGAAATAAGATGTGGTGAAAAGCCAAAATCAGAGATGGAGGCCTAGGAGAACAGATCAGAAACTGGGTGTGCTGGCTGTGAGAGACAGAAATATACCATCAGCCAAAGCAAGCCCACAGTGTGGTCAAGAGGCTCCGCAGGTGGCCTGGAGCCTGATGAACCATACCGTCTGAAGGTTAGAGGAGGGCAGGCCCGGCTGCTGAGAGAGGAAACTCCTATCCCTGCTGGCAAACCCCTTTGGCTTTTTCCAGGGATTTTCCCTCCTCTCCTTAGCCTTAGTCTTACTCAGGTCTTAACATCTGCACATAGGAGGAAGGCAGTAGTGCCAATTGCCTAGAAAAATATTGGAGGATGGGTGCAAAGGGCCTATTCTGACATTTATACTTCTACCAGTTCTATGACTGTTTTGGGAGTTAACAACTTCTAATAAAATTGAATGCTCCCCTAGCTATAGCAAAGGATCTCTGGTGGTATAGTGGTTAAATCATTCATCTGCAAATCAAAAGGTTGGCAGTTCCAACTCTCCAGCCACTCTGTGGGAGAAAGATGAGGCAGTCTGCTTCTGTAAAGATTTACAGCCTCAGAAATGTTATGGGGCAGTTCTACTCTGTCCTGTAGGGTTGCTGTGAGTTGGAATCAACTTGATAGCAGTGAGTTTTGGTTTTGGGTAGAGATAGCAAGACAAACCCTAAGTTTAATTTGTGATGTAGGGTAGACTTTACCATAAAATGTCAAGTGTTAAAGTTTTTCAATTAAGTCTACTTTTTTTTTTTATTCAGAAGATTTCAATGAAATGTGTGTGGTATGACCACAAGCCATAGTCTCCACCTTTGAAGGTATTCCTCTTCTCCCTCATCACCCCTCCTGGATTCTAAAGGGACTGTGCCTCTACCCTGCTAACTATTAGTAATCCATTTTCTAAGAGCAGCTACTTATGGAGGTTTCCTTTTTCCCGGGGCATAGGGGTAAATGTGGGAGCTCTGGTAGCGTAGTGCCTAAGGCAGTTGACTGCTAACCAGAAGGCTGGTGGTTCAAACCCACCAGACACTCCTTGGAAGGCAGACTGGGCAATCTACTTCCGTAGTGATACTGCCTCGGAAACCCAAGGAGGGGTTGCTATCAGTCGGGTCCGGGTCCGACTCAAGGGCAAATAACAACAACAGCAGGGGTATATGTGGACAGGAGGAGGAAGGTGGCCAGAAACAGGCTGAGGGGTCACACATGTGACAGCCACTGTAGTCTGGAGCAGGTACATCCTTCAAGTAATTTGTTAAGAAATGAACAAGCTTTCTTTCTCACGAGAATGTTCTTACAGTTGGTTTATAAAACAGCTGCCATGTACTGGGACCAAAAAGCCTTAGAGATTAAAATCATCTTCTATGACACAAGAAGGAGGACTTAAGTTCTTATTCTTTGGAGGAGGAGGAAGATAGACAAAGGAGTACGAAACTTCCTTCAAATCAGAGCAAGTAGCCTCCTTTACAAAAGCAGGCTTGTTTTTTTTTTTTTTTTAGAGTCCAGCATTGCCTCCAAAAATCATGTCTTCTATATAGCTTTGCATCTCCCACAATGTTAGCACACACTAGAATGTTCCACAAATGTCTGGATATGCTGTACTATACTGTTTGAGCTTGGAAACTGGCCCTTCATCATCACAAAAGGGACTGATTTATTTTTTAAAAAATAAATACAATTACTTATGTTGTAAAAATTTTGAGAGGTCTCCTCATAATATTGTGATTACCCAACAGAACTACAGATTTAGGATTCTAGGACATTAACCCAGACTACAACTTTTCCCTCACTGCCTTGAGAACTGAAAAAGGGAATGGAACAATTTAGGAAGACCAAACAGATGCTGCTTGACCAAATGAAAAGGCCATGGATGTCTATCACCCTTGGGGTATATCATATGGACTAAAGAGAGGGAGCAGGTAATGGTGGCCCCTCTGGAGGATACAGCAGCAGACAGGAGACTGCCATTCCCAGCTAGGGCCTTGGGAGTGGCTCCAGCTGTTGTGGCAAGCAGGGCTGTGAGAGGAAACCTGGGGGAAGCAGTTGTGGAGTCAGCAGCTGGTAGGATGGGCTGGGGGGTTGCTGCCAAGGAAGTGGCCTGTCTCTACCCCTTACCTTTGACTTCGACCTCATGAAAGGAAACCCCACACTGCATTTGAGGAAGTCCGACTCCAAAAGCTCACAGGAAATGCCCATCTCCTCCTGTAAGAGAAAAATCACCAACAGATGGGCTGGGTGCAGGGGTTGCAGATGTGAGGAAGTGGCCTCAGTGAGGCAAACAGAGACTTCAGCAAACACAGGCTTTCGTTAGGGCAGTTCCCTGACAACAGCCACTGTTGGCTGTGATGGGAGGAGGAGTTCTCTGATCAGGCTGAGTTCCTATCCTCCTCTGTTGCCCACTCTTGTTCAAAGGTTCCCTGAGGAAACAGGTGCAGAAGACAAGGTTCAGCAAAAACACTCTTCATTCTTAATGAGCACCTTGGCTCTGAACCTGGTGCTCTGCTGATGAACACGGCTAGGCTATATGTGAGCTGGAAGCTTTCTGAGGCTTGGATTAAAAGGCACCCAGGTAATTCTTCTGTCTCTTTCTCCTAAGACCACACCATAGTTCTGCCTTTCAAGGTCTCACTAGTTTAGAGAAAATAAATTCTGGGAAAATCACACGAAGGGAAAGAGAGGGTTTCTTTTGACAGCCTGAGTCAGTGAGGGATGAGATGTTCCCCTTGCAAGTCTTTCCACCATCAAAAGAAAGCAAAAAATAAAACCAAACCTACTGCCATTGAGTCAATTCCAACTCATAGTGACACCCATTTGGTTTCCAAGTCTATAAATTTATATGGAAGTAGATTGCCTCATCTTCCTCCTATGTCACAGCTAGTGGGTTTGAATCACAAATCTTCTGGTTAGCAGCCAAATGCCTTACTCACTATACCACCAGAGCTCCTTAAAAGAAAGCCAAGAGGCTATTTATAACTCATAGGGTCTCTCCAAGTCCCCAAGGCCAAATTAAGACTTCCAAGGAGAGAGAAAGACACTTGCAGATTTTGGAGAAGAAGAAGGTACAGAAGTAGCACCTGCTAAGCTACCCTGTGCCCAAAACAAAAACCAAACTCACTGCTGTCAAGTCGGATCTGATTCATAGCGACCCCTCCTTGGGTTTCCAAAGTGGTATCATTACAGAAGTAGATTCTCCAACCTTACTTCTGAGGAGTGGCTGGTGGGTTTGAACCGCCAGCCTTCTGGTTAGCAATCAAATGCCTTAGGCACTATGCCACCAGAACTCCCTACTCTGTGCCAAAAGCTGGGAAACTGAAGTTCAGTGAGGTTATGTGACTACTCCAAGGTCATTCTGGTGATGGGGGCAAAGACAGAAAGAATTTGAACCTAGACTTGCCAACTTTAAAACTTGTCTTCTTCCCCCTCCACTATTCTGAACTTCTAGAGAAAATGAACACAGCCAAGACACAATGGCAGTCAGAAGGAACCAACTCACATGGATTCCAGCTTTGGAGCACCTCCCACGCTCCTTCTTCATTTCCAAGACCCACACCTCAGCACAGACCAGCATTTCCATTCTTCCAGACAAGTCGACTGAAATATTTTTTTAAAAAATTTGTGTCTAGTTAAAAAAAACTATGACTCCTTACTACAGTGTATTTAGTTATAAATTATATATGTATATATATGTATATGTATATATATATGTGTGTGTGTGTGTGTGTATATATATATATATATATATATACATCCTAATATATTATGAATATAATCAAACACAGAAAACATTGAAATACAACTAATCTATGGCATTATTTAGGAGCTTTGGTGGCGTAGTGCCTAAGGCATTTGACTGCTAAACAGAAGGCTGGTGGTTCAAATCCACCAGGCACTCCTTCTGTAGAGATACCACCTCGGAAACCCAAGGAGGGGTCACTATGAGCCAAATTTGACTTGACAGCAATGAGTCTGGGTTTTTGTTGTTGTTGTTGTTATGGCATTATTAGTCATAACAAATATGACAAACACTTAATACTTCCCCACTGGTAATTGGGAAAGCAGTAAGTGGAAGGAGGTTTTTGGGGTGCTGGGAATGCTCTGTTTCTTGACCTGAGTGCTGGTTACAAAGGTGTTCTCACTTTGTGAAAGTTCACTGAGCTTGCCATTTAATGATTTGTGTACTTATGTACGTCAGACATCAAAAAAAAAAAAAAAAAAAAAAAAAAAAACTACTTAGAAAGTAACAAGGAAAAATTCCCCAAAATACAATGAAAGAAAAGATATGAGTAAAATTTAAAAGGAAATGCTCATATATCTTTTCAGCATCCAATCTTGGCAATAACAGACCTCAACTATTATAAGTTTCCTAATGGTGCTCCCTGGCCTCATAGTGAAGATGGAAGACAATCTTCATTAGAATCACCTTGGGAGCATCTTTAAGAATGCAGAGTTCTGAGCTTCTTTTCAGTCATCTCTGAATAGACAACTAAGTAGTCTCTGAGGAGATTCAGAGGGCACAGAGGGCCTGGGATGAGAATTTTCAACAAATGATAACTGAGAAAATAAGTGATTCTGCTATACCAGGCTATTTGAAATACACTGTTATGAGATTTCCTTTCTCCAGTCAATTCTACAGGCCACCTGAGGAACATTCTTAAAACATGCCTCTCTCCACTGCAAACAGAATAAAGTTCAAAAACCTAACTCTGACATCCATTTTGGCTCACTGCACATATGCATTATTATCCTACAAATACCCTTTGCCTGTGTCATTTCCATACTACTGTTTAAATTTTTCCCACTTGTGAGGAACATCTTTCTTCATCCCTCCCTCCAAGGTTCTGTTCATACATTTTGGCCATGCACACTCAGGAGTGGTGTGGTGGTTAAGTTTGTGTGCCAACTTGGCTGGGCCTGGTTGAGTGGCTGGGCAGCTGGTAGTAGTTATTCCCCATGATGAGACTGGCAATCAACTCAATGGTGAGATTTACCACAAGCAGCTGAGTAGCTGCTTTGGGTATGTGGTCTACTTCTCGTATATAAGCAGCAGCTTTGGGAATGGTCTCTAGCCTATGGCACGCTTGGACCCTGCCGGTAGCCATGTCATCGTTCAGCAGCCTGCTATGCTCTGCCGACCTTGAGACTTACAAAGGACTTAAGTTAATGGCATGCCGTGTGGTTTGGTAACATCCGGACTGTGCCTTTTTACTTGTCAACCTTGGGGCTTCTCAGCCTCAGCAGCCAGCAGCTGTCTGAGCGAAGAAAGGCCTCTAGCTCCAGCAGGCCAGGAGCAGAAGGCAGAGCTGGACCCCCAGGTTGAGGGGCTTTCACCCAGTCACTAGAGCCTGGCACTTTGAACTTGGGCTTAAAGCCTCCAAATTTTAAGAATAAATTCCTGTTTGTTAAGGCCATCCCATTTGTGGTATATTTCTTGTCAGAGCGGCACTAGGTAACCCGAACAACTACTAACCAAAAAATTGTGGTCTGAGCCCACCCTGAGTAACCTCAGAAGAAAGGATTTGCTTCCAAAAGGTCCCAGCCTTGAGAACCCTGTGGAGCAGTTCTCCTCTGAAACACATGGGGTTGCCATGAGTTGGAGCTGACTTGATGGTAACTGGTTTGGTACATATCAGCCAATGTCACTGAAAACGTGTGTAGAAAATGTTAAGTGGAAACTTAAACTGCTGTGTAAACTGTCACCAAATACACAGTAAAATACGATTTTACAAAAGGATAGACCTTTATTTTAAATTGAAAATCTCTCTGAGTTTGAAAGGGATTCTCAGGAAGGTAATGAGCATTAGAAAAGAGTTGGGAACTGGGATGGGTAATCATACAATACATACCTATTCTTTTTTGAAAATATTTTATAGTGTTTTCTGTGAAGGCTTACATAGCAGTTTAAGTTCTCATTCAACATTTTCTACACAAGTCATTCAATGTAACATCGCTTACATTCTTCACAATGTATGAATATTCTCTATTTCTGTTCTGAATTGTTCTGTTTTCATTAATCTAATTTCCCTGCCCTCATACATTCTCACCTTTTTTTTAAAATTTTTTTAATTGTGATTCAGGTGAAAGTTTACAGAGCAAATTCACTTTCCATACAGCAGTTTACACACACATTGTCTAGTGACATTGGCTACAATTTACCCCAATGTGACAGCTCCACTCCCACTTCCTCCTGATAGTTGCCTCTTCCCTGTGTCCATCCCTCCATGCACTCCTGCCCCCTGAACTGTTTCCTTGTGCATAAACAGCCCTTCTTTCTCCCATGATTGTTCTCTCCAAGGAGTGTATCCTCAGGTACATGTTTAACTCATATACCTGTCTTTTGTTTCTCACATTTGGTTTAAAGAAATTGTTGATCATTTGGAAAAGTCTATCAATTACTGAAATAAAGATGTTGCCCTGAGAATTTCTTAAAACTTTTCCATGTGTTTACAGGAATGACTTAGACTTCAAAAATGTACTTTGGACTCTGAGGTGACCTCAGTTTACTTATCTTTGGTCTAAAACTCCTTTTACAAAAAAATAGTAAGTGAAGGAGATTGTGATGAATTTGTTGTGACTAGGGAATGGTTCAATCATTTCAAAGTGAGCGCAAATTTACATAACATTAAGGGCAGGTAAGAGTTGTGCTTAAGTCAGACATTTGTAACCTTTAGACTGCCTGCAACATCAAACTAGATTTTTCTTTTTAACTTTTTATTGTGATTTGGTGAAAATTTACAGAGCAAATTGGTTTTCTAGTCAGTGATTCATACACATTTTGTTTTGTGACATTTATTGCAAACCCCACAATAGCACTCTTCCCACTTCCTCCCTTGGTTCACCATTTCCACTTGTCCTTCCTTCCTATCCTTTCCTGCCTTCTGAGCTTTTGTCGTTGTTGTTGTTGTTGTTATGTGCCATCAAGTAGGATCCGACTCATAGCGACCCCTCCTTGGGTTTCCGAGGCAGTATCACTATGGAAGTAGATTGCCCCATCTTCCTTCCGCGGAGTGGATGGTGGATTTGAACCACCAGCCTTGTGGTTAGCAGTCAAGAACCTTAGCCACTCTGCTACCAGAGCTCCATCCTTGTGCAAATGCCACCCTTTTGATCTCGTGTGATTAATTGTTCTAGGAGTACATACCTCCCTGGTGTTACTGTTCATCTTATAGGCCTCTCTATTATTTGTCTGAAAGTTGAGGGATGGG